AGAGAGAGAGAGAGAGAGAGAGAGAGAGAGAGAGAGAGAGAGAGAGAGAGAGAGAGAGAGAGAGAGAGAGAGAGAGACAGACAGAGAGACAGACAGAGAGACAGACAGAGAGACAGACAGAGAGACAGACAGAGAGACAGACAGAGAGACAGACAGACAGAGAGCGAGAGAGCGAGAGAGAGCGAGAGAGAGCGAGAGAGAGAGAGAGCGAGAGAGAGCGAGAGAGCGAGAGAGCGAGCGCTGGGCAACATGGACCAAAATGAACATCTTGATATTTTAAGATAAATCACAAAATACAATACATATCTCGATATATTTTTCTTTCCATAAAGTAATAACAAAAATTTGTTTTTGAGTCAAAGCTTTGTCCTAATTGTCACACAGGCACATACAGTAAACAGAATAAAAGCAAACTATTTACATATTTTGAAATTGTTTTTTAGACCTTTATTTGCATTTATTAAATAATAATCCACTTCAGCTGCCCCCCCTTCACGACATTAGTAAGTGTGTGTGAACTGCAGCTGCAGGTCAGACAGACTAAAGACATTACTAAAGACACAGTCCCAGTCTCAGCTGTGGAACAAGACAGCCGTCTTGTTAGATGCTAAGGACTGTGTCTTTAGTAATGTGATGAACTGCTGCTTTATTAATGTCGTGCTCTCACTGTTCCTCTCATAAGGCACAGAACAGCTAAATGAGTTCTGACCTGTGGTTTGTTTCAGGGATGGAGGCTGAAAACACACTCGGAGCTGCAGCTGCAGTTCACACACTCCTCATACTCCACCGATAGCGCTGTTTTAAATGGTGAAAAAGATTCGTAGTTCCAACCTTTTGTTGGGACTTGTTTTCAGCATTGTCTACAAACATTTTTCTGCCCCTCATCTGACAATTTAAATCCAAACCATCTCCGAAAGAACAGCCATTGTTTTTCTTTTTGTTCAGCAGCTAAGCTGTTCTTCATATCTCCTGTGTTTACTTGTACTAAACGTCTCCCGCCCACCTCCTGAAGGAGCAGGAAGCGGGGAGCGCGTGTGGCTGAGGGGCTGGGTTTGTATTCAAAGAAGGAGAAGAACGGGGGCACGTGGGAGAAATAAGACGGCAGGCAGATTTTCAAATATTACATAAAAATATAGTGTTTATATTGATATAGTCTCATCTTATGTCGCAAAAAAATTATCTCAATAGTTTTAAAATAGTGAGATATCGCCCAGCTTTAATGGCTACCCCCTAGCTAATGAGAAGATGTTTGCATGGATGAGGTTTTAGTTCTTTTAAGGTTGCAACAATCCACTTTGTTCTTGGCCCTGCTCAAACTAGCTATTACCTCATCAGTCCTTCAGAACTAATCTGGTTTTTTTTTTTTTTTTTCAAACTAAAGAGCTATGTACAACAGGTAAGACACTAAATGTTCATCAATTTTTACTGATTCCCATTTTAAAAGCTCTGAACTGTCCCTTTAAGATGTTTTAAACATCAATCTGATTTTAATTACTCTGTTCTTAATTATCTCATTTTATCTTCTGTCTCCAGCTTGTGGTTTGGACTTGGACTTGGAGAAAGGTTTCCCCTCATCACAAGAGGAGCCCCCTCCCTACCCCGGGTCTCCTCCTTATCCGTCTTTGTCTCCTCCCGTCTCTCCCCCTCTGCCACCCAGCGTCCCCCACTATGCAGAGGCAGACATTGTGAGTCTGCAAGGTGTGAGCGGTAACAACACCTACGCAGTGCCGGCCTTGGCCTCCTCCAGTCCCGGGGCCGATGCCGCTCCGCTGCCGGAGCTGCCGCGCCAGTGTCTCCTCTTTAAGGAGAAGCTGGGGGAGGGACAGTTTGGGGAGGTGAGAGCTGATACATAATACATGGGTGAGAAGTTGATTGTCCTTTATTAATATCTGCGTGTTTTTGGGGTCAAAGGTGCACCTGTGTGAAATTGAAAACCCTCAAGACCTTCCAAACTTGGAGTTTCCCTTTAACGTGAGGAAAGGTCGCCCTCTGCTGGTGGCTGTGAAGATACTGCGCCCAGACGCCTCGAAGAATGCCAGGTTAGTAACACCCGCTTCACAGCTTCCCTGCCTGTTTTTACAGCCCAGCTCCTCTTTCACACTTTCTCATATGTTCAACAAACTGCAGCGCTCCCACTCGGAGCAGTGTTTCTAAAATATCAAACAGGATTTAGCAAAACTGAACTAATTTATTATTAAGACGCAAAAGATGTTGAAAAAGTCCCCTCATATTTTAGCCATTGTTATTTTTTCATTCTTTAGTGGAATTACCACAAGAGGATTTTTTTGAGGGAGGGAATTCATTTGTATGGTTAAACGAAATTGTTGTAAACTACTTTTCTTAACACATTTTTGATTAAATTCTGCCATTTGAGTTGTTAAAATAATCAAATTCATTATTAATAAAGTAAGAATTTATAGGTATACTGTGGAGCTGAGCTAGACGTCCTTCAGAATTGGAGAAGTACTCGACAATGTCCACAAATACTTCAACCTCTGTTCAGTTTTGTCTCAGTATTTCAGAGTTGGACAGTAGTTCAACCTTTCAAAACTGTCTTCTGCAGCTCATATAATTGTCATCCATTCAAAGATGCTTTTTGGACAAGCAACCTTTGCGTACTTTTACTGTGGTTCTGTCATGCACACACACACACACTGATAATAATCATCATTTCTAACACTTAAAATCCACATGAAGTGAATATAAAGGGCAGTAAAATATAAAAACCAAGTCATGAAATTAAAATGTATATAAACAACTCAATCAAATCCGTAGCCTTTGTAGAAGAAATGCATAGTGCCCACTAGTTTATGATACCAGAGTTTTAAGAAGAGACAGAGTTTAACCCGTCTTGGTCAAACTTGAAAAAAACTTTATGCACAGTTTAAGGCGAAATGACGATATCTCAAGTGATCTGTCGGTGCTTGGAGTGTTGTTGTGAATGACTGTCAGCTACTACCACACCAAATTTTAGCTCAACATCTGTAAAATCCTAATTCAGTTATAGCTGTTTTTGTGTAGGCTATGGTCCTTTAGCTGTGGCGGCCATCTTGATCTGCGTTGTTAACGAGTTGTAGAGGCACGGCGAATGATTACTTTCTGATAGTGTCACTAAGATCTGCTCAGTGGTTCATGTGATATTTTGTTAACAGACAGTGTTGACTCTAGCATTTAATGGCAAACTTTCAGACAGATGTGTGCAGTGCTCCGAGGACGAGTTGGGAATGACTCTCAGCTACTACCACACCAAATCTTATCTCAATATCTGTAAAACTGACTGAGTTGGAATCATTTCTGTCAGTCAAGGTTGCCATTTTGAGTAGTGTTGATTTCAAAAGTTAATTGTAGATGTAAACTCAAAGAGCACTTTCTGAGAGTTTCATTCACATTTGTCCACTGGTTTACAATATATTTTGCTAACACTACAGAGAAACGCACACAGGCAGAAACGTTGTTGCTCAGCTTTCAGCGGCGGGCGATGGTTAGGAAAGCCTTTTTTTTTTAAAGCCATGGGGCCATGATGACTGCACTGCTTAGTCCTTTTTTTAACTTTTCATAAGATTTCTGAAGGTTTTGAAGTAAACACCGACTACGGTTGAAAAATCTAAGTACCTTAGGGAGAAGAGGCCTTGAAGGAAGTTTAGTAAATCAGTTCTCAAACAGATCAGGAGTCTGGAAGAGAACAGGAGTCACGTAATCGAGTTTCTTGGCTCTAAATAAAAGCTCACCTGCTGAATTCTCTGCTATAAACAGATCTTTGGTAAATCAAAGCAGCGGAGCAGAGATTAGATTTTCTCATATTAGAGCTGATTTGGCTTCGTACCCCAAAGAAAAGTTTTTATTTATTTTTATTTCTTTCATTTAGACTCTCTTTGCCAGCTGTTTGTTTGCTTTGGCTCTCTGAGTTTTGCTCTGAGCAAGTAAATTCAGTTTAGTGAGATGTGTGTTTTTACTTTCCGTTCTCAAGAAAATAAACCCTTGAACCTTGATTTTAGCATTTTCTCTCAATCATTTGATCAGATTAACCCTTTTTGTCTCTTTTTATTCTCTTAGGAACGACTTCCTGAAGGAGGTGAAGATCTTGTCTCGCCTGAAGGACCCGAACATCATCCGGCTGCTGGGAGTGTGTGTGAGCAGCGACCCCCTCTGCATGGTCACAGAGTACATGGAGTGTGGAGACTTGAACCAGTACCTGTCCAAACGAGTCCTGCTGGACAAAACCGGGCCTTCACACAACACCCCGACCATCAGGTAATCCCTTCCATCCAAAAAGAGGTAAATAATACTGGCAGGTACGAATGTTTGTATGACTTGGCCTTTCCTGCCCGCCATGCTGTCTCCCAGTTACCCCGCCCTCATCTCCATGGCGAGCCAGATTGCGTCGGGAATGAAGTTCCTGTCGTCGCTCAACTTCGTGCATCGAGATCTGGCCACTCGTAACTGTCTGGTTGGGGGTGAGAGGGGTGAGAACGGAGAGGACCAAGGTGGCGAGCGTCACATAAAGATAGCGGACTTCGGCATGAGCAGGAACTTGTACGCTGGAGACTACTACAGGATCCAGGGCAGAGCCGTGCTGCCCATACGGTGGATGGCCTGGGAGTGTATACTCATGGTGTGTTGGGTTTTACTTATAAAAGGTCTTTTTTTTTTTTTTTTTTTTTGCAATTTTTCCAAAGCTCAGGGCTTCACCGGTGCCCCTAATAGTAAAATGAAACGAAATCATTAAACAGACTAATGCACTTAAAACATTAACAACTCAGTAATGATGCTGTTATGTGTGAAAGACACTCGTTTAATGTGTCGCCTCTCACCGGTAGTTCATCTCTCATGTTAATGGTGCTTAGTATCATTTGGACATTATAGAGCTTGTGATATAACAGTGTTGTGTGTGTGTTTTCTCTCTCAGGGTAAGTTCACCACAGCCAGCGATGTGTGGGCGTTTGGGGTCACTCTGTGGGAGATGTTGAGCGTTTGTCAGGAGCAGCCGTACTCCAACCTCACAGATGAACAAGTCATCGACAACGCCGGCGAGTTCTTCAGAGACCAGGGCAAACAGGTACGTGATGCAGGACACACAACAACGTTTGACCTTTTTTAATGTATGTAGAACAGACTTCACATGCCATTATTTTCATGAATGCTAGGTAACATGAAAGTAATTTTATTGGCGTTATTGCAAAAAGTCTTGCTCAAAGTACGTGAACTCTCAGCTACTACTACATCAAATTTTAGCTCTGTATCTGTACAATTAGCTGAGCTTTAACCATTTCTCTGTTGGCCAGTGTCAGTTAGCTGTGAAATCCATTTGAACTTGGATTGACTGCAAAAATACAACAGCTGTAGCTGTACATCCAGTGGTTACTTTCTAATTACAGTAGTCCCTTGTTTATCACAGGGGATCCGTACCCTAAAGACCCGCGATAAGTGAAAAATCGCAAAGAAGTAGTATATATATATATATATATATATATATATATATATATACACACACACACACTAGGGGTTGAACGAGTATATAATTTTTTAACTCGACATTAACATAATAAAACCCGTAGAACGCGTAGAACTCAAGTATTTGATGACATCATAGATCTCAAGATACAAAAATAAATAAATAAATAAATAAATAAATAAATAAAACCGAAAAAAAAGGTAATTATTTACAACAAAAAAAAAGACCAACAAAACATTGGGAGTGTATATTATGCTCCTACCATTTATCATACTGCAAATAAGTCACAGTAAAAACTAAACTATTAGTTATTATTATTAAACTGCAAACGTGAAGAAACGTGCAGCACTTCAAAAATGAAACTTAAACCGAAACTGGTTCTGGTTCGGTGGATTGAACCCGGTGTTACACCATATTCTGTGACCTGCAACAGTGCAACACTGCCCCCTATGGTCTTAAGGTGGTCACATAAAATGACGTCACTACGGATACTCGAGGTAACATTTTTAACCTCGATAGATGTCCTAGCAATCGATGTGTAGATTACTCGAGTACTCTATTAATGCCCTGATATATATATATATATATATATATATATATATATATATATATAAACGCTCTAAAAGAGCACAGAATGTCATGATTTCAGCTCCCAGCCTCCTCTGCTCTTTGCCACCTGAGCGCTCTTGGCCACACCCACTTCTCCGTTCTGCACGGAGAACAGCTGATCAGCTGCAGCAGGAAGTTTATCCTGCAGTGTGGGCTGCACAAAGGTGCAGCAGGTGCTAAATATTTTAAATAAAAATTCCATAGTGATCGTGTGGCTCATCCATCAATCAGCCAATTGTGTGTCATGTCCACTTTTATTTTAAAAAACCACGATAGAGCGAGGCCGCAATAAACGAACCGCGAAGTAGCGAGGGACTACTGTATTGCAGCTTTTGTGTTTTCTACAGTCAGTTAGCTGTGGCAGCCATCCTGAATTGGGTTGGCTCCACTGGTTAGTCAATTGTAGAGATGCAGCTATTGATTATTTCCTGAAATTTCATTAAAATCCATCACGTGGTTCATGAGATATTTTGCTAACAGACACACAGCTCCAAGTAGCTGATGCAAAATTAGAAATCACTCCAAATTTTCGAACAATATCCATAAAGCTGAGTCATAATCAGGTCATTTGGCTGTGGCAGTCACCAGGTTGTTCACCGACGGTGGGCTATAATAATCCCACCTGGCTTTTGATGTGAGGCTAATATTTAGACTGGTCCCCCTGAATGATTTTTCAATCACCAACATTATTTCAACCTCATTATCCAAAAACAATCCCTTTGTTCAGGTGAGTTAAAAAAAGAAAACTGTAGTACAGGCTTGTAGGGATGGGCAGGTAAAGTCTCTGAGGATCTCAATCTGATTGTGAGGAAAAGGTGCAGATTCGAAGCTTCAGTGTAAAAACAGTGACATCTAGTGGCCAACTGAAGCCATAACAAGGTGCAAGTTTTAGCAAAGCTTGTCTGAAAAGCAGCAGGTTTGATCAACAAAGAGTTAATTTCCATCTCAGCTCCATGCAGACATCTGTTTTATGTCTAAATCTTATTTTATATGGTGTCAAAACTCTCATTTTTGGGTCAAATTCAGCTCATTTTAGCCTAAATGTTTATACATTTTAACATGTAGTTTAGATATTGAACCCAATAATAATATGAACTGGAAATTTGTTGGCTGTACTTGCTCATTGCTTGTGTTGAGTTCAGCAAGTGTTCTCGTGTTTATTTTCATCAAGCTTGAAATCTCGGCCATGTTGGCACAAAAAGTGCCAGGTACTAATTAAAAAACAAAGAAAGGTTAAACTGTTCACCAGCGTCCATGTGCGAGTTCCTCACGTCTCTGTTTGTCTCTCAGGTGTACCTGAGCCGGCCGGCGGTGTGTCCTCAGGGTCTCTACGAGCTCATGCTGAGCTGCTGGAACAGAGACTGCAAGCTTCGCCCATCGTTCGCCTACATGCACTCCTTTCTTACCGAGGACGCCATGAACATGGTTTAAAGATGGAGACAAAGAAACGAGGAGGAGGAGGACACCTTGTTTGCTTGTCCTCCCCTACTGAACAGTGGGATGGTGTGGTGGAGGGTCTCACAGGGAGACTGGGATGCTCATTTTTATATTTTGTACTTCTTTTTTTTTTTGGTGGATGGGGAGCTGAGACACCGCTGGTTCGGTTTTACTTCCACCTCAGACCCCAAAGACTTTTGGTAGATGAAAGTCTGAGTTAGCATTTATTATAGCTGGTGGTGGGTTTTCTCTTGTTTCAGAAACTTTACAATCAAATCATCATCTTCAATGTGACGTGCAGGCGACTGGCTGCAAATAAAACCAAACTTTGAGCACCTGTTGAGAGGTGGAACAGCACACAGGGACTATTATTTATGGTTTGCAGCATGCACTGTAATTCAATAAGATCAGACCCACCATCAGACCCGTGGGACTCTTCCTCATCGTATCTTACCCCAAATTCCTGCTTAATGATCCACATCCACTAATTTTTTTGGGGACTGGAACAAACAGAAGCCCTTTGTCTACAATGTGATTAGATAAAGTTTGCCATCGGCCAGAGACTCCCATCTTAATCAGAAACATTCAAAGAAAAACCTGCATACCTGCTGCCAAACGGACTTCTAAAACTTAAGGAGAAAGGCACAGAAGACATGAGCCTGCAGCTTCTGCTGCTCAAAAGATGTCACTCTAAATATATATAAATATATATATATGTATTTTCCCCACTAAGGAGAGAGAATGTGAGCAGCCAGCAGTGGATGCGACTTCTTTATATATTTAATTCCTTTATCTGACCATGACTCTGACAGAACGGATGGATTTAAAATTCCACAACCAGCTGCACTTTACCCAACATGCATTTCCTTTCCTGTGATCCAACTCTTCTCCATCGTGGGCCTGAACGATGATTCCTGACGTGACTTGTGATTTACCTACATGCGAGGATTTTCAGTTTTTTTTTTTTTTTTTTATTGATATTTTGCCAAGAAATATCACAGATGCACAGGTCAAAATCTCCAAACCTTCTCTAAAACAGCATTGCCAAACCTTTAGATGTAAAATAGTGTTTTAAAAAATGAAACTGGAATGGCATTCTGATTTTGTTTCTAATGTATGTAAATGAGTTGTTACTCACACAATAAACTTTGCTGATCATCCAAACACATCACTGTCGTTTTTATGGCATTCCTGGTTAAATGTGTGAAATGAATCCACGTTTAAACTGATCGTGTTTGTCGATGCTTCCACCTTCCAGTCTGTACAGCCCAAAGTTATCTGGGTTGTGAAGTAACAAGTAGATTTGTGTGAACTCATCAGGACTCGCTGTAGCTCTACTTCAGTGTTTTTACTCATTATACATGTAATCAGTGCGCACACGCTGTCAAAGTAAAGATCAGGTTTGGCACTGAACGTTCTATGCAGTTTATTTTTATTTGTTATACCTTGATCTTAAAATGAGGTAAAACGACCTCTGTGGGAACTCCGGGGTGCAGAGGGTGCTGCAGCACCCCCTGATGATGTCTCTTCAGATAGATGCACCACCAGTGAGCATTTCACTGAACTTATTTGGTTTTAGAATATCCTTCATACAAGTTATAAACTCGTACGCTCACAGCTCCAACTTCGGAGAACTAAAATTACATTTTTAGAGTCTGATAATAAGCAAAGCCAAATGCAGAAGCTGTGATCTTCATTTACATTTAGGAGTGAGAACTCTTGGAAACTACAGTATTTTTGTTTGTACGTGTAGGACCTTTGGCTCAGTCGTCATAACTTTGCTTTATTCAAAGTCTGCAGATTTCTCTTGAATCTCACATTCTCAAGTCACGTTTTAACGTTTCTTCCACATCATTTAAATCGAGCTGAGGTCTGGACTTTGGGTCACTGCACTACCTTCATAATGCTGCCGTGCTTCGGTTCATTTTCCTGAAAACTGTTATTCGGAAGACAAACGTCGACTCCAGAGGACGACTGATTTGAGTTTTTCTACAGCTGAAGCCAATAACTGAAATACAACTTTGTTTTTCTTTTGGTCAAAATTTGTTTTTCAATTAACGAAATAAACAGCTTTTATAAAAAAATATATATATTTTCATTAAAATAATTTAGAATATGTATCTAAATATAATGTACAAAAAAGCATTATTACCAGTATATAAAATATTAAATTGTGGGCTACAGTGAGCAGAATTTGCTACAGAATAAGTTCAGCCGTCCTCTCCTGGGAAGACCGCCAGCTGTCTGAATGTTTTCCAGTTTAGAATTAATCAACTGGTGGCTCAGAGGATAGAGGTGGGCCTGTGATCAGAAGATCACTGGTTCGGAGCGGCTGTGGCCTCCAATGCAAGAGTTGGGGGGGTTGATTCCATCAGCAGTCACAGGCTGAAGTGTCCTTGAGCAAGACACTGAACCCCCCACTGCCTCTGATGTGTGTCCCATGTGTAAGAATGTGATAAAGCTTTGATTAATCTTTGTATCGATCTAGTAGAGTGCTGTATGAACGGGTAAATGAGGCACAGATTGTTGTGTAAAGCGCTTTGAGTGTCTCGATAAGATAGAAAGGCGCTATATAAGTACAGTCCATTTACCATTTAACTCCACAGACCGACAACATAGAAATGTGGGTGTGAAAGGTGAAGCACCCACACCTACCTCCACCCTCATTTGCCCCACTCTAGGCCCTTGAGCAGGGCCCCCACCATCTGCTCCCCCGGATGCCCTACAGCAGCCCACTGCTCCACACAGAGGGCTGTGGGAGCGTCAGGAAGGGCGTCCGATGTAAAAATAATTGCCATGTCTTTGCGCAACGCTGTGGTGACCCCTGAAGAAGGGAGCAGCCCAAAGGGAGAAAAAATAATAATTACATACAAACCGGATTCCAAAAAAGTTGGGACACTAAACAAATTGTGAATAAAAACTGAATGCAATGATGTGGAGATGGCAAATGTCAATATTTTATTTGTAATATAACATAGATGACAGATCAAAAATTTAATCTGAGTAAATGTAACATTTTAAAGGAAAAATATGTTGATTCAAAATTTCACAGTGTCAACAAATCCCAAAAAAGTTGGGACAAGTAGCAATAAGTGGCTGGAAAAAGGAAATTGAGCATATAACGAACAGCTGGAAGACCAATTAACACTAATTAGGTCAATTGACAACATGATTGGGTATAAAAAGAGCTTCTCAGAGTGTCAGTGTCTCTAAGAAGCCAAGATGGTAAGAGTCAGAGTTTCTTTATTGTCATTCGCACCTCATGTGGTACATGTGGTGGAGCGAAATTATGTACACAGGGTCCCAGTTACATCCAACAATAAAATGTATAAGAAAAACAGTAATAACATCTAAGATATGAACTAAGAAAAACATCAACTAAATATACACTAAGCACTCATAACATAAAACATTGAACATCACCACAAACATGAACATGAGTCTGTGAGCAGATGTGCACGCATGAACACATCAACATTGAAACAGATCAGCAGCAACATGAAACAGATCAGCAGCAACATGATATGGTTTTTCACAGTGATTATTCTAGTTAGAGATTCATGAGTCTAACAGCCTCAGGGTAGAAGCTGTTCCTCAGTCTAGTGGTTCTACACTTAATGCTCCTTAACCTCCTTCCTGAGGGGAGTGGGGCAAAAAGTGTGTGTGCTGGGTGGGTGGGGTCCTTCATGATGCAGGTGGCCCTCTTCCTGCATCTGGAGGTGTAGATGTCTGTGATGGTGGGGAGGCTGATTCCGACAGATTTCTGTGCAGCCTTCACCACTCTCTGCAAAGCTTTTCTTTCTGCAGCTGGAAGAGGATCACCAATTCCACCATTGTTGCACAGAAAGATAGTGCAGCAATACCAGAAAGGTGTTACCCTGCGTAAAATAGCAAAGACTTTTAAGTTATCATCATCAACTGTGCATAACATCATCAAAAGATTCAGAGAATCTGGAACAATCACTGTGCATAAGGGTCAAGGCCGTAAAACTCTACTGGATGCTCGTGATCTCCGGGCCCTTAAACGTTACTGCACCTCAAACAGGAATGCCACTGTCAAGGAAATAACAGAATGGGCTCAGGAATACTTCCAGAAAGCATCGTCTGGAAAGGCACCATTAATGCAGAGAACTATGTTCAGGTTCTAGAACAACATATGCTCCCATCTAGACGTCATCTCTTTCAGGGAAGACCCTGCATTTTTCAACACGATAATGCCAGACCACATTCTGCAACAATCACAACATCATGGCTACGTAGGAGAAGGATCCAGGTACTGAAATGGCCAGCCTGCAGTCCAGATCTTTCACCTATAGAGAACATTTGGCGCATCATAAAGAGGAAGGTGCGACAAAGAAGGCCCAAGACGATTGATCAGTTAGAGGCCTGTATTAGACATGAATGGGAGAGCATTCCTATTTCTAAACTTGAGAAACTGGTCTCCTCTGTCCCCAGACGTCTGTTGAGTGTTGTAAGAAGAAGGGGGGATGCCACACAGTGGTCAAAATGGACTTGTCCCAACTTTTTGGGGATTTGTTGATGCCATGAAATTTGGAAACAACAGATTTTTCTCTTAAAATGAAACATTCTCTCAGTTTAAACTTTTGATCTGTGATTTGTGTTGTATTCTGAATAAAATATTAGATGTTGGCACCTCCACATCATTGCATTCAGTTTTTATTAACAATTTGTTTAGTGTCCCAACTTTTTTGGAATCCGGTTTGTGTGTGTGTGTATATATATATATATACGCATGCACACACACGACTTGAGGGGTGGAAAACATATACATTTTGTTTAACACCCTTGTAAACTTGTCACTTTTCTAAAATTGAGGAAAGCTGTTGTCTTTGTTTTCTGGTGTGTTCAGGGACACTCCAGAGCAGAAAAACTATTGCAAATGTTTAATTATTTGAATTAAATTTAATTAAAGTTTTTTTTTTGTTAGTTTTTACTATGACTGTAGGCTCTCTGCTTTCAGTAGACTTTGCTACATCATGTACATATTTTAAAGAGTAAATGACTCTTTTCTTTACCAATATATATATAAAAAAAAGTAACATTTTAGGTCCTTCATGTCTTTGTAGAACTTGCTACCTTGGTACCCTTTATTAATTTTTGTAATGTTTTAATAAATTTACCCATTTTGAAATGAATCGTGATCACATTGTGTTAAACAAGACTTGAGGGGTGGAAAACATCCAACAGGTTGAATTCAGTAAATAAAACATTTTATTAAGTTTATTACAGATACATTGAAGCAGTTTCACAATGAATTAATAGTCATGCATCGTTTTCAAAGATTTGTCACAAAAACATACCAAAAAAGGTCAAGACACGCTTGCCTTTTATTTATAGCCATCAACAGCAATGGCTCGTGAACACATGAGTTGCACATGAGGAAAAGATTCCCTGACAGAAGTTTTGAGAGGCTAAAGGGTGAACTGAGGCTTTTGACCAGGCACTTGGCGATTAACAAAATGCATCAAGTTAATCTTTACTAGAAGCACTTTTAGTTTCTGATCATAACATTCAAAACTACACGTGCAGATATACAAGAGCTGACAATTTATAAACTAAAATAGCACTTTTGGATGATGTCTCACTACAACTGATAACAAAAAGGTACAAAAGTAACTTATTAAAGTCAAACAGATGAAAGAAGCAGGTTGTTTATTGGAGAGTATATGTGGTCCTCCTTTAGTAAAAAATAAAATAACCGTTTCCACCAGAAGACACTTTCACTGCCTAAACAGGAAAACCTCAAATCTTCCACTCATCACCCCCTTCCTTTTGAAAACCTTCAACTTTCCTGCTCACACACTTCAGACTTAACGTTTGACGTTTTCTAACAAACAAATGGACAACTAAAACATATCGTTCACTCGTGTCAGTAAAAAAATAAAGATTGACCTAACGTCTGCAGTTCATCCATCAGATGTCAAATAACATTAGAACTTTATAAAGATTAAAACATGTGTTGTAGTGATTTTCTTTGGGCATTTAAAAGGCACAGAAATTACTTTACTCAAATAAAAAGGTCACATTGGTGTATTAGTATCCTCTGCAGGAACAATGAGAATGTAAACGGCTGCATAGAGAATAAAACAGCAGTTCTTCGTTCAGTCTGAATCAGTGCATTGAGAGAGCGGTTTTGACAGCAACAGATAAAAGCTGATCGGTAACGGTGTCTGCAGTGAGAACACAAAACCAGCACTGAACAGGAAAACAAACCACATGAAGGAGGAAGACAAGTTCTTCATCTGCATATATAGAAGGAAAACAAGCGAAACGCATGCACAGACGGCGAGACGAGACTATAATGATGCCGAGTCAACACGGGAACAAGGCGAGGAGTTTCGTGACTACCAGGATGCTGCTGCTCTTCTTAATACACACGGGTGGTCGTTCCAGCAACCTGTGACAAATGTAGGTTAATCAGCACCCCCAGGTTGTTCAGTCAGGTGCAGTTTTTTTTATTCTTCACCACATGTTAGAGCGTACCTGCGCGATTTGGACTCCGGTGAGTTTCTCCACAGCATTCGGCAGTCGGGTCATGATGTCGAGCACCTCTCCAGCGAGTTTAGCTGCTCCCACCTCTGAGCCGCCGCTGGACACCATGGTGATCTTTTGGGTCTCCGACAATGGCTTGCTGATCTCCTCTGCCATCTGCACAGGGAAACAAAAAGGAGTTAAGACATGGAATGGGAGATTTCATAAGTTTATAGTTTAAAACAGGGGTGTCCATATTTTTTCAGCATGCGAGCTACTTTTAAAATGACCAAGTCAAAGTGATCTATAAGGCCCCGTTTACACGAGAACAACCTCTGGAAATGTTACTGTTTTTTTCCGTGTTTATTAGGGATAATAAACTAAAATTGAGAGGGTTTACATGAAAACACTGTAGTTTCCATGTCAATCAGGGTGCCAGATAAGAAATTATAAACTATAATACTATGGCTTTAAAATGATAGTATTTTGAACTAAACTGTCATATGTGCTGAGTAAAGATATTCTAAGATGAGGTGTGTGTGTTGTGTTTGTTGAACATGTGCACAGAAAATGAGGGAATAAATAAGACATTTTAAATTTATCTGGCAACCCTGTTGCTGGGCTCAGCTGCATTAATTGCACATGCAGCGTCTGCATGACAGTTGCGTCCAAACTGGTGAATACATGGACGTTTCTTTGGACCCTGGATTTTATTAGTTTTGCTCCTACGTGCTGAAAAAGGGTGAATGTCACAAAAACACTCTGCTCTCTGCCATTTATTATAATTGTTGTTAGTGCAGAAAAACTTTGGACTGCAGCCGCCTGTAGTGTGCATGTGCCACTTCACACATGGAAAATGTCACTGTTTGTTTCAACCAGTCTCAACCTGGTTTGAGAGATTGAGGGCTGTGACTGGCTGCCCTTATGTCAATCACGTGACAAATTTCATAGTAAGGATGGATGATAATAAATTGTCTTTTTTTTTTTTTTATTTATGCCCTACGATCTACCCATAATGTCTTTGTGATTGATGTACTGGGCACCCCTGGTTTAAAGAAAGAAAAAGAAAAACCTCCAAAAAAGGTAAAAATGAATTAATATTAGGAGAATAAAATAAATTTTCTTGAACTGAAAAAAATTTTGAAGACTTAAAAAAAGGAGGAAAAGTGAGAAAGTTTATATTCACACACAAAAAAATGTTTTCTAAACAAAAACTTTAAATACTGTAAAAGCATCTTCGGACCACCTACGCACTGAACGAGACAAAAGTTGGCAGCACTGTGAGAATCAACACTGCACTGCTTTGTGTGACACTCGGAAACAAACCCAGGTGGATCCTCTACACCCACTTGAACCACAGACTTCACATCAGATTCTGCTTGTTCAAATCAAGGGTTGTTTGTGTCTTGGAGCAGATTGTCAGCCGGACACAAAAACCACAGTAAACTGTCACAACTTCTCTTCACTCTACACCTCAAATACCCTCAACTTTCTAGGTTACCTTGAAGCTTCGGTTTGCAGCAACATGTTGCACATTAGCTCGCGTCTCAAAAGAATTACAACTAAAAGGAGAAAAAAGGCTGGCTTTGTGTGGGAAAGCTGAAGCAGTATAAAGAATGTTGAAAGAGCTGAGCAGTATTTGGGGAAAACAACACTCCCTCAGCACAGTGACCAAACACAATGACTGTCTTTGCCATGAAGGACACACCTTTATTTATTTCAAAAATAAAATGAAAGGCTAACAGGACGTGATTAATCAAATAAAAGATCTTTGTTTGTTTTTTTAATTCAAGTTTTTCTTCTCACAGTTCAAACGTTTATATGTTTAGTTATTTTAACCAAAAGAGTCAAACTGACCAGTGGAAGTTTCTCCAGCAGCATATCCACCATGGCTCCATCTTTGTACTGCTTAAAGGCATCAGCCTTTTTGGCCATCTGCTCGGCCTCGGCATGACCCTTAGCCTCCAGAGCAAAAGCTTCTGCCTCGCCTTTTATCTGTAAGGAGAAAAATTTAACAGGCCACTTGAGTTTGCAGTAAACGGATGTCAAACTGGATATAGGTAAGGAAAAATAAAACAGTACTGTAGGATGGTCATTTGTCACAAACAGCAATGAAATGTAAAACAGAAGTAGAGAAACGAATGGAGATCTCACCCTGATGGACTCGGCCTCAGCTTCAGCCTCCAAGATGAGCTGTGCGCTACAGGAGATGGAAAGTTGACCATTTGAACCAACAGTTCATCTCCGAGGCAACTAAACCAGGCTCCAGTACTCACCGCTGCGCCTCAGCCAACTTCTCCAGTCGGTACCGTTCAGCCTCGGCAGGCTTCTTCACTTTAGCTTCAAGCTCCTTCTCTTTGCGGATGATCTCCTGGTCCTGCAGACTAATCTGCTGCGTACGCTCCACCACCAGAATCTGCATCTTCTCCTCCTCAATGCGCTGCTTGGTCTTTGCCACCTTGTATAGAAAATGTAAACACTACTTACAAATCAGGCAACAAAAGGTTTAAAAAAATCAGGAGCTCGAGTATAAGACAAATTTTCATTTATATACAGACGCAAAACACTTTCCGCTTTAACGTGTTGTGACTTGGCCACTGAAGGTCCCATCCTGAGCAGAGGAGCGTACCTGAAGCTGGTAGGCCATTTCTGACTCTGCCTTCTTGGTGTTGACCTCGACATCGTAGGCTGCTTTCTTCAGCTCGTAATCTCTCTGGGCTTTTGCCATTTCAATCTCATTCATGTACTGAGCAGACACCTGCTCCTGCTTTGCGTGGGCCTCCTGTAAATTGTCACCAACAGAGGAGACGTGACAAACGAGAAAATCCCTGAAGAAATGTTGAAGGGTGCCAACGCAGCTTTGTCATAATCCAAGATGAGGAGAAAATGTCTACATTTTGATGTATGACATGCATAAGAGCTGAAAACATGAACCATGATCAAAATCTGTCAGTGGTTTAATATGATCACCATGGTAACCACTCACGTGTCTCTCACTCCCTGACAAAAAACTGAAGAGAAGCAGACAGACTAAAAATTAAGCCTAACTGTCAATGTGCAAGTCAGATCTTAAGAAACTGTGAACCATAAGCAGAAGACTAAAACTCACCTGAAATTTATTTTGTTTCCCCAATACGACAAGTGTTACACTGATAGGCAATGTGTTCAACATAATGGTACTTGCTCCAGTTATTTAACAGTCAACAATGGTGTACCACAAGGCTCAGTCTTAGGACCTACCCTCTTTACAATCTACATACATAATGTTGGTAAAAACATCCCTAATGCATCCATACATTTCTATGCTGATGACACTGTTGTTTATTGTCGAGCTAAAACAGTTGCTAAGGCCTTCCAACTTTTGAAATCTGCATTTGACATCATCCAGACAAATTTGTTCCACCTCAAACTTGTCCTAAATGCCGACAAAACCAAAGGGATGCTTTTGTCAAATAGGAAGTTGGTCCCAGCAGTTCTTCCTCTGATCTCATCCTCAAATGGTGTCCCGATTGAGTTTGTCGATTCCTATAAATATTTGGGTATCTTGGTCGACTCCCATCTCTCTTTTAAGCTCCATGTGGAAAACTTGGTAAAGAAACTGAAAGTTAAACTGGGTTTCTTTTTCAGAAACAGATCCTGTCTAACCCTGAATGCTAGGAAACGCCTTGTATCTGTGACTTTCCTTCCCTCCATTGAATACATTATTTACATGAACGCTCCTACAAGAACCCTGCAGATGCTGGATGCTGTCTATCATGGTGCACTAAGATTCATAACTGGCTGTGATTATCGTACCCACCACTGCACACTGTATTCACTGGTTAACTGGACATCATTAACTTCACACAGACTCTCTCACTGGTACATTGTCATCTTTAAATCACTTCTTGGTCTGTTGCCTTCATACATCTCCTCCTACATGTCACTGCATGAGTGCAGCTACAGCGTGCGCTCTCAGGACATTATTACCTGCAGTGTTCCCTCAGTGCGAACTGAACTAGGCAAAAGGGCCTTCTCCTACTCTGCTCCTGTTTCCTGGAATATCTTACAAAAAGATCTGAAGCTCTCGACCATGACCTCTCGAAGTGGCTTTAAGAATCTGTTGGACTCCTGGCAAGGACCAATGCAGACATGTTCCTGTTTTTAGTCTTCTACATTTGCCTTATAATCTAACTGTTTTTTGTTACTTTGATTTTCTTTTTACTTTTCTTTTTTTTATTTGGCCATCCTATTTGTAAAAAAAATAAAATAAAAAATTGTATGACTTTTTATAACTGTCCTCGAGGCTCAATGGAATTTACCTGTCTAAATAAAGGTTGAATGAATAAATAATGTCCCCATCGCTGAGGGATTAAAATAGGAAATGTTTGTAGTTTTCCAAGTGAATCTTAATGGTTTTGTTGAAAAATATTCAAGTGGGGAAAAAAATGACAGCGGTAATTTGTTTCTGCTTGTCTAAAGCACAGCAGAGTGACAGAGCCTGGCGGGTGGAGGGAGCAATTGTATCCACAACCAAGTGCAATGGTAGCGCTAGGGGGTGGCCAAAATATATATACTGTATACATATATGGTGGTGGCCATCTTGGATTTTGACTTGGCAACCCAGTTTTTGATAATGACCTTTCTTATGCTTGGATGTAGCCACATACCAAAATAGAAGTTGGTACCTTATTTATTTATTTTGATTTTCATGCTCACAACATGCACAGACGGACGGACAGAAGATATTTCAAATTACCCCTTCGCTCTGCGACGGAGGAAAAAATGACCCTTCACTTCAAGTTTGGAAAACAGTATTTTGATCTACAATGTAACTGAATCTGTGGACGCCTGGATGTGAACTATGTGCCTTCTAGGGAGATTTGAGAAACAAAATATTGAGTCCTAAAGCTGTGAGCGAAACACTGGATAAAAGAAGACAATGCCTACAATTTGATGTATAATTTGTATATATCTCAAAGTGAGTTGTGGGAGGAAGTGGGATTTGCACATTTTTAGACAGCTCAAAAGTTAGAGTGACATCAACTGTTAAACAATCTGCGTAAAAAATCTGCAAAATCCATCAAACCTAAATTGCCATTGTGTAAAACTTCCTAAAGATATCAAAATACCAGTTCAGTCAAGCCAAGTCCAACTTTCTGCTACCCATTTATATTTCAAAGTTTCTATAGTGTGCCTCAGCTATAGAGCTCCAGCTCCAAAGAGGGCTGAGTTTTCTCATACGTTTTGTCAAAACCCCACTGATCCCCCTATATGTTGTTTTCTTGAAGTGTCTTATTAACTCTACGTTGTGCGATGTACCACTCACTGCCAAAAGTCATAACAAATAAGATAAAGGATAGTTAAGTGTGGTTCAGCGCTTAAGCATTAGCAACCTTTAATTATGTAATTCTATTCAAGACAAGTATTCTCCTATGTAAACTTTTTTTTTATACATTTTTTTACCTTTATAACAGCGTCTCGTTTATATTGAGCTTCTCCAATCCTGGCATCCTTCTGCACCTGAGCTGTACGGGCTTTACCCAGAGAGATAAGGTAACCCTAAAAAACAAAGAAGGGACCAGAGATAATCAAACCTGGTGCTGCCATGAAGCGATCAAGCTGAGACGCAGTTACCAAGAAAGAAATCAAACTCAAGCGCAGCACAGTAAATCTATTCAGTTTTCATTAAATTAATTTAGACAAGAGCTGATAAAACACTGTAGTCAAGCCTGGTAGGACAGCTAGAAGAGGAAATCCAGTTTGAGCTACAGAAATGGAAGACAGAACATTAGACAACCAAATGAAGGGGTAGTTTGGCTACTCATAGAAGCACTTAAGCCTAATTTGTCTGTATTGCTACAAAAGAAAAAAAACAACATAGGGGTTGGCTGAACCACAAATGGTCAGTATCAATCACTAAAGCCTTTTAATGTAACAGCAGAAACCATCTGAGACTAAAAGCTTTCATGGAATAAAAACAACTCAGAATAATATCCCAGATTTATGAGACATCGTTTGTTGGATGTGCTCAACATTCTTGTTCTCATTAGGAAAACATGATTTTAACAGAGAAAGCACACCTGATCATCGTGAACATCTTTGAGCGTGTAGCTCACAACACCAATCCCCATGTTGACCAAGTCTGAGGAGGCCACTTTAAAGACTTGTTCGGAGAACTTCTTACGGTCCTGGTAGATCTCCTGCTCACAAAGCAGTGTAAATAACCACAGTTCAGTACTTAATCAGCAGCTCAATGAACAGCAAGAGTTATGCAAAAACATCTGTGACAGTTAAAAGACCAACCTCTACAGTCAAATGAGCAATGATAGCTCTCTGATGTCCCTCCAGTGTCTCAAGTGCAATGCGAGCAATTTCATCCTCTTCTTTTCCCATGAACATCTGACACGCATTGGCCAACATCTCCTTGTTCTGACCTTGAATTTTCACCTAAAAAAAAAAAAGAGTCAAACTAGAAGTGAAACAAGAAATCAATAGCTAAAAACTGTCACGCATCAGCAGATTTAAATAAAACCAAAAAAAGTAGAAAGACTGGTTTTTCTTGAAAGTGAGTCATGGAGTATCAATGATAAAAAAAAAAAAACCTGTAAAGATAAAAGTTTAACAAAAACATACCATTCAAGCTTTTGTCTCTCTACTTTTCGCATGACAAAACTTGCAAGCAACTCCAAGTAGGCATTAACAAATGACTTGTGAAAAGCTCGAGAACAACTTTCTGTAGCGTTGTTGATTTCAAAAAGATGCTGACCACTTTAAGAGACTTTTTATATAATTCAAATCTAATTTTGTCAGAATACGCACAGCTAAAGGCATTTTACTCAGACAGCTGTCAAAGTTTACCTGTGCAATTCCAGTGACAGAGACCGGGACACCATGACGGGTGTAAACTTTGTCACTCTTCACATTTAGAGTCAGAGTGTTGAGGGAAATTCTGGGAATTTAAAAAAAAAAAGGGTATTTTGGATATGACTGTCAAAGATATTAGAACAGCCAACAGCTTGTTTAAGACAAAACAAATGAGTTAAAAAATAAATAAAATCACCTTTGAATCTTTTGTATACACGGTAAGACAAACACTCTTCCTCCAGCAATCATTACAGGTGGAGAGCGGCCACACCCTGGAAATAGAGGGGTCAACATGTAAGACAAGCATCGAACAGTTTCTAGTAACATATGATAAAAATCAAAGCCCCATATTGCAACAATATGAATGTCTCAAAACATTTAGTAACATAATTTACAAGAAAATGGAAACTCCCTGATCTACTCCAAGCTTAAACACCGTACTTCCCTAATCATTCTGCGGACATGATTATATCAATGACAATATTATCTATTCACAATAAACCAAACTTTACCAATAAAATCATTATGACTTTTTGTGCTGATTTTTTATCAATCTAACAGTATTACAAAGGCAGACATGTATAAAAAATGGGGATGTTTTGTGTTTAAATATTAATAATAAATCCATTACCAGACACCACCATGGCTTCATTGGGTCCACATGTATGAAACATCTTGATTCCTGATGGAATAAGAAAATAAAGTTTCATCAACAAAGAACAAAAGTAATAGTTTGTAAAAGGCAGCACGGTGGCGCAACTGGTAGAACTGCTGCCTCTCAGAGAGCAGGTCCTTGGTTCAAACCCCGGTCCAGGGGCCTTTCTGGGTGAAGTTTGCATGTTCTCTCCGTGCATGCGTGGGTTTTCTCCGGGTGCTCCGGTTTCCTCCCACAGACCAAAAACATGCATGTTAGGCTGATTGGTAACTCTAAATTGTCCCTAGGTGTGAGTGAGAGAGTGAATGGTTGTTTGTCTCATTTGTCTCTATGTGGCCCTGTGATGGACTTGCGACCGGTCCAGGGTGTACTCCGCCCCTCGCACAGTGATTGCTGGACATGGGCACCGGCGACCCCCGTGACCCAAAATGGAAGAAGCAGGTAAAAGATAATGGATGGATGGATAGTTTGTAGAGGCTAATAAAGGGTAGTAAAAGGTAGTAAAAAGTAAATGGAGATACAATAGAACATATATTCTTTTTGCATCCCTCAAAAACGCTTTGAAAGGTGTTTCAACTGAGGAAAGGATTGAAATTATATATATATATATATATATATATATACATATACATAAAAAATACAGCAATGTAAAACTGTCAAAGTTTCTCCAGGAACTTTGACAGGGACTGCCTATTTATTATTAAATTATCGTTAATAATAAATATTATTAATAATTAATAATGATTAATATATCATTGATTTATTATTATAAACGATTAATATGTTTGATAATAATATTGATATTAATTAGTAATATTAAATATAAATTATTCATATTAATAATTATTAATGTTATTATTTGTAATTATTAAAATGAATCATTAATAGTTCATGTTAATTATTTTTACTAATTAATAATAATAATAAGTGATAATAGGTGCCTTCCATGCATGTTGAACCAAAATGGCTCCCGACGTTACTCAGTTTCTTTGAAAAGTTTTCTCCTATTAATTTCCTATGGGAAAGTTGTCATTTTCTTAGCAAAATATGTCACCATGGTAACGCCAATTGCCAATAAAAGTAATAGCACACATCACGGGGCCATGCCAGTTGTTGTGATATAACTTTTGTGGGGGTAGACATTGTGGTTCGGGCCGCATTAACGGAGATAGAAATGTAGACTCACTTCCGAGGTGTAGAATAATAGGTGGCAGTCCCCAAATATTAATGTTTGTACTTTTTTTTTTTTTAGAGCAATATCTTTTTACTCATTTTGTTGAAAGAAATGATTAAAAATGACTTAACGTACAAAAATGACAAGTTCAGTTACAGGATTTCAAAATCATTTAAAAAAATCCACTTGTTCATTAAGTGTCAAATAAATAACGTATTAATGTTTGTACTTGGTAACAAGTTCACGTGACCAGTGCGCCCCCTAACGTTTATATAACGGTTTATGTTTTCAGCTCAAGGCTCCTCCTTCCTCCTTACAAACATACGAGCTTTCGTCTTTTTCTAGCATAAATATGTGCAGTGTTTTTAAAAACGTACTTGTATCCGATACCTCAGCAGGTATACCAACTTAAAATGTTACGTCTGAAATCGTTTTAGGATTAAAGTTACTTCCGTGATTAAATCAGTGATGTCGAGTACCAGCAGTGTCCGTACACCGCAGTCCAGTTATGGGGAAAAAGCAGTCAAGCATTTACTCAGCTAATATATAGCGACGAGACGCATCCAACGACTTGTTTATTTTATCTTTATGTGGTCAATAGAAATCAACAAACCTGTTCAGAGCGAAGTTAAATCTACTTCCAGGCTGTAAGCTGTCGTCTGTTGACTGGAATCAGAAAAATGTCTGTCGAGGGGAGGGGAAGTGCGTGCGTGCAATCGAACGCCCATCCTCCCACAGCTTATTCATGACTTCCGTTTTCTGCCACCTAGCGGTGAGTATGAAAACTGCAACTTCCCGTTTAACAACTTTTTTTTTTCCCAATCTTTATACAAAATCAGTACAGCAAAATCATGCAACAGCAAACATGGTTCGAGACTTAAGACAGGCATGAGAAAATAGAAATACAAGCAAATAATAAATATGAACATATAGTTTGGGCAACAGTAGACATTCTTTTCAGAGTGTTTTAGTCTTTAAAGCTTTTGCATTGGTTCAGTAATTTAAAGTGGACAAATAAGGAAATATATATGTTAAAAAAAACAACTGTAAATCTGGGTTTTAGCATGGAAAATTTACCGTTTAACCTTGACTAATTTGCGCAAACCAATTTATAACATAATAGAAACGTGTCTAGTACTGAGTTTCCCATCCAAACTGTTAGTATTTGCCTCACTCAGTCTCCTAGAGCGTAAAGTACCAGAGCTTTGTCTGGCCCACTGCGAAGTATGGGTTTTAAAAGCATGGGTGTTTCAATAATCCAGGTAGAAAAATCCAACAAAGTTAAGTCAGGTCTTCTGGACAGAACCGTCCAGTCCTCAGGATGGGGGACGAAACGTTTCTCGCTTAAAGAAACTGGTCCAGATGACACGATTTAACCCCTTTTTTTGTTATCTACCTGGATGATTGAGCTTACAATCCTTCTTCAAGCTATTGTTTTGCAATTTTAAGGTTCAAGGCAGTTTTTTGCTGCTTTTACAAATCAGTTTGCTCCTTTTACTTACTGTTTTGCTTCTTTTAGCTATAGTTACTCAGCTTCAGCACCCTGCACTCACTCATTTTTTGCAGGAAATTCTCAAGATCCATTTGTTGTTTTTTTCAGTAGCTCCTTTCCTGTGTTTCATCATTCCCACCCACATTTTGATGTTGTCGGTTCAGGGAGTTGAACCAGCGGCCTTCCGATCACAGGTTATCAGCTTCTCCAACCTCAGCGCCACCACTCCCCACTCTAGATACGTATTGTTTACTCTTTCTAAATTGTGTATACATGTTGGAGGAAAAAGGACAATACAATGAAAATAATGTGTTGAACTAATGTTGAAAATAACAGTTATCTTTATTAGATCTGAGTTAAAATAAAGATGCTCATGATGTATAATGATTGAGCAACAGAGAGCAGCACCACATGAATGTTTTACCTTTTATATCATACTTATTATCAGTGAATTAACCAACTAAATATGCATGTACTTCTTATATTGCTCACACCACTTTTGTGTTCCACAAGCCAAGAGTAATATATGGTGCAGTGACAAAACGACAACTGGATTGATGTTAACTTAATATATAGCAAAACACCCTGATGCATGCTCAATAATCCAGGTAGAAAAATCTAAAAAAGTTAAGTCAGGTCCTCTGGACGGGTTCAAAAAACAAAAAAATGTAGAAATGTTTTGGCTTTCATCCGAAATACTTCTTCAGTTTGAGGAGCTGTACTCATCCCTTTAGTTGGCAGCTCAGAACACCACATACAGAACACCACAGACTTTGTGGACAAGGTGAGGGATGTCATCATGGAGACTGATGAAACAATGGTCTCTTTTGATGTCACATCACTCTTTACGTACATTCCTGTTGATGATGCAGTAGATGTGGTCAGTTTAAGATTAAAATCAGACACCACTCTGAGCAGCAGGACCACACTTTCCACAGAACAACTGTGTCAACTCTTGAAACTGTGCCTGCAGTCAACCTACTTCACATATGGAGGCCAATAGGCAGAAACATGGGTGTGCTATGGGGTCTCCAGTTTCTCCTATTGTTGCCAACCTGTACATGGAGGAGGTAGAAAAGAGAGCCTTGACATCCTTTTCAGGGACACCACCAAGTCATTGGTTCAGGTATGTTGATGACACCTGGGTTAAAATTAAATCTCAGGAAGTCCAACATTTTACTGACCACATCAACTCTATGGATAAATACATCAAGTTCACACGAGAAGATGTAAAAAATGGCAGGTTGGCTTTCTTGGACTGTGAGGTCTCAGTCTCTGATAGAGGACATTTGTAAACTGAGGTGTACCGCAAACCCACCCACACAGACCAGTATTTGCAGTTTGACTCCCATCACCCTCTGGTGCACAAGTCCCCCGGCACAAACAGAGTAATATTGTATATGTTGTTCAGTGTCAGGAGGGCTGTGATCAGTCTTACATTGGGGAAACTAAACAGCCACTGGCCAAAAGGATGGCCCAGCACAGAAGATCAACATCATCAGGCCAGGACTCTGCGGTCTACACTCATCTCCAGGCCAGCGGTCACTCGTTCAGGGATGAAGATTTTCACATCCTGGATAGAGAGGAACGATGGTTTGAGAGAGGAGTAAAGGAGGCCATCTTTGTGAAAAGAAACTGTCCATCATTAAACAGGGGTGGAGGCCTTCGTGTTCAACTCTTACAAAACTGGTTGATCCACTATGAGAAGGTGTTGTTTATAAGACTGAGCTGAATACAGCTCCTCAGACTGAAGAAGTCTTTTCGGATGAAAGATGAACCGTTTCTACAATTTTTTTGTTTTTTGAACCCCTCCAGAGGACCTGACTTAATAGCAAAACAGTATTCGTTTCCACAGAATCATCATTTTGATCAAAAACACAGACTTCCATTTAGATTAGGCTGTTGCAAATGCATAAAAGTCCTCCAGCAGCAAATATTAAACCGTTACTTCTGGAACTGAAACGCCATTGCACTTCAGACTGGATTAGCTCCTGTTTTCCACACTATAGCTGATGACAAGTGAAACCAGTCTTGCAAACCACTTCTGTGTTCGTGTTCTTGCAGTCTGGTGTTGTTTTATCTCAGAAACCATTTAAATAGAAGAAGTTCATCATGAGGCTGTCAGATCAGCTTTTCTGCTGTGTCACCCACACACAGAGGATACTGGGTAAAGCGGGGAGAGAAGGAATGAGCCAGTCTGCAACATCAGACATGATTTACCCATGTCTGTTTGTCTGACTGCTGTGTTAGCAAAATATCTCATGAACCAATGGACGGATTTCAGTGCAACTCACTGCATGTGCATACAACCTTTAAGCCAACCTGATTTAAAACGGCTGTTTGACCAGATGACCCCCCTTTCAGCCCAACTTTACTCCTGCCATCTGTTTTCTCAGCAGAAGAGACACAGAGATCATTAGTCATGGATGACTCTAAAACAGCTGTAGTGCATGTTTCTGGACACCAGCTGGTAAGACCCAGTCTCTTTTTCTGATTCCCCTCCCTGATCTGGAGTGGTGTCCTCCCCCACACCCGCTGGCTCACTCCTCTCATCCAATCACCACGCGCCGCAGTCTGTTCTGGGTGTGGCCACGCGCCAATCGGGGCTCCGCAGCCCCGCGCTGGAAACGCTCCAGCCTTATAAATCCATTGTCCGGCTCGGCAGGGCTCGGTTCGGCTCGTTGCGCTCATCCACACACCTCTTTCCCCCACTCTTTCTGGTCAAACTTTCACATCCATAATGAGGGAGATCGTGCACATCCAGGCCGGCCAGTGTGGCAACCAGATCGGTGCCAAGGTAAGGTTATAAAAACACTTGATTTTTTGTGTTTAAATGTTTTGGTTTTTTTTTAAACCCATTCATTTATGTAACTGATTTTCTTTGAAGACAAACATTTGGCTTGACACCGTAAATGTTTCTCCAAAATTCAAACACATAAGCTGATTATAAGAAGGGATTGCCGACTTTTTGTGCTTCTCCTTGTGCACTGCAGTAACTGGTGGGTGTGAGCAGCAGGGACATAACGGGACTGGCTTTGTTCACCCAGCACCGGGCGTGTCTGCCTCACAACTCCTGGGATCCAACTCATTTTAAGGCATTAGAAAGGGGGGAAAGCAGGAGAAATGGGGGAGAAAGGTATTTTCTCACCTGTCAGAGCCCCTCGGAGTCTGCACTTTGCTTTCTTTGTCTCCCACAGATAATGTCTGGTGCTTCAGACAATGAGGGAGTTTGAATCAGAGGCCTAGTTACTGGTACTCTCCCCCCACATGTCTGATAGATCAATAGCTCATATTGATCAGGTTTTTTTTCTGCAGGCTGTTGGCAGATTCCAGCTACTGAGGAAGGGGGGACTTTGGGAGGGTGTGGCATGACTTATTGGTAAAGATTTTGTTTTCCTTTTAATAAATATACACTAATATTTTGTGTTAATCAACTCATGTCATAAATTGATGCCCGATTTTATAACGTTTACCACAAATCTGTAAGAAATTTCGCAAAGTGGGGGCACAAGAAGTCCATTCATCATCTGCCCAGTCTTTCCCTAACAGCTGCCATCTGCAACAATGGATTCTTGGGGCCCATTATTACTGCTGTCTTATGTCTTTTCTTTCTTTTACAGCTGATAATTTGCAAAGCCAGCATATGTTTAAGCAGGATTCTCCAATGCATGCCCTGGTATTAAGACCTCACTAAAATAGCGCAGATTTTAGGGGATCATTGAGTGTCTCTGGTAGAGATGTCCTGGAAAGCAGAAGCTTTCTTGTAATCAGCGTCTTTCCTGCACTAACCAAATTAAGAGCAGGGTGTGGGAGGAATGGAGGAAACAGCTGATGCACAGCAAATGCAATAATCAGTATCCAGTTGCCTTAATGTGCAGTTGTTGCAATGTTTTGTGCCAAATTCTTTGTCTGATCATTGTAGTTTGTTTTACAGAAGCACGTTATAGGTGCTGCTTTAAATTGTACATTTGTTGTTTTGCATATTTTATCTGCCTGATGGTGATTTTTGAGAGAGAGAGAGAGAGAGAGGATCTCCATTTGTTTCCGTTCCCTCAGGACTCATTGACTCAGATGTCCAGTGGTTATGATTGACAGAGATGCTGAATGGCTGCATTGTGGTGAATTAGGTCAGGGTGTGGCATCGCTTTTCCTGCTCATTGTCCTCATTTGTTCACAGTGATTTTTATCATTACTGATACACATCTATTGTGTCAACCATCCGTCAGTTTCTCAGTGGTGCTTTTGTTCTGCAGAGAAGCATTTTTCCCCATCATTAAGGTCAATCGGTTCATTTTTTTAATTTTTAGTTTGGTTTCATAATGTTCAAATGTCATATTTATTCCACAGGCCCACAATCCTTTAAGTACTTGTCTGTAGAGCAGCCAGCCTAAGCAGATTGATTTAAATCCACCTTTTACTGCTGAATAACATCTGAAAAACGTCAGACAATTTAGGACATGCAAACGACAACGTACACTGAGTGTGATCTTTATGGAACAAGACCTGAATACAGAGTTGGAGACTCTCAGTGTCTCCGGTCTTTGTGCGACTACCCTCTGATGGCATTTATTTTCAGTTCAGTCTTCACAGTGATCTGTAGCTCCATTGTGCCCCTCCATTACTTTTTACACAGGAAAGCATTGCATACTGCCGAGTCATCAGTTGGCGGCTATGGAAATATTAACAGCTGTGAAGCAGGAAACTACTTAAGATACGACTTGCTGAAAAGGGGGAATATTCCTGGATTATACATCTAAATACAAGAATGCAAACCCACAGCTGTTTTCATCATTTAAAGATCCATAACCACCAGGGCTAGGAGGTCAAATTATTGTTGTATTCGTATCATGTGATGCTTTCTGTTTCTGTCTGCAGTTCTGGGAAGTGATCAGCGATGAACATGGCATCGATCCCACAGGAACTTACCATGGAGACAGTGATCTGCAGCTGGACAGGATCAGTGTCTACTATAATGAGGCCACAGGTAAGGGACCGTCCTAAAAAATTATTCAAACTTTTCTAATTTTACTCCAATTTATATAGATGTATACTGTATGTATATATATATATATATATATATATATATATATATATATATATACACACACACACAGAGTATATACATATGATTTTATTTTATTTTTTTGTGCAATGTTATGTGAGTGTTATTTTAGATCGGAATAGAACACG